GGTCATTTTTGTAAGAAAGTGATATTTTCGACTTCTTGTTGAAAACCGCAAGTGCAATTGCTTTGATATTACATATATAGGTACTACATGTGGACCTCTCTCAGATTTGTTCATTTTGTAATGATATCTTTAATTCTCTAATTTTGATGAATATTTTTGTAATTTTTGGTAAAAAGTGATATTTTCGACTTCTTGTTGAAAACCGCAAGTCCAATTGCTTTGATATATTATACATATAGGTACTACATGTGGACCTCTCTCAGATTTGTTCATTTTCTAATGATATCTTCTGTTCTTTAATTGCCATGTGCATTGCTAACAGCGGAGCTATTTCCGCCGACAGGCTGCTTGTTGTCATATTTGGTAAAAAGTGATATTTTTGACTTCTTGTTAAAAACCAAAAGTTCAATTGCTTTGATATTACATATATAGATACTACATGTAGACCTTTCTCAGATTTGTTCATTTCGTGATGATATCTTCAATTCTCTAATTTTGGTGAATATTTTGGTCATTTTTGGTAGAAAGTGATATTTTCGACTTCTTGTTAAAAACTGTAAGTCCGATTGCTTTGATACTATACATATTGTTCATTTTCTGATGATGTCTTCAGTTCTTTAATTGAAATGTGCATTTCTAACAGCGGAGCTATCTTAGCTGATAGGCTGCTTGTTTTTTTATAGTCTGCACTTTTCTTCAGAAGAAGCTAGCCAAATTTTTGGAATAAAAACTAAAAATTGAATCAAATTTTGTCCTTTGGCTCCAAAATTAGGGTTCATTTCCTGAAATATTAAAGAATATAAAAGAAAGAAATGCAGAACAATTTGGACGAGAAAGGAGGCAGATTTTAAAAGTGGCTATCTGAACTCTGATATCTTAAAATCCTTCACACAATGGAAATTCAATCATTGAAATGAGGTCAATGCACTCTAGTAAAACCACTGATCTGTCAACAAAGTATATAGCAACTGGTCCATGTCTGAAATCAATGAAGGCTGTCATGGTGTCTTTGATGTAGTGGATGGCTCTAGGTAGCTTTCCTTCAAAATTTCAACTAAAATATTATCAGGAATATTGTCATAAATCAAAGTTGTTAAGTAGATTATATGCTAACATTATAATATTATTGTGGAGTATGTACTGTGCAAAACATGTATATGCATGTGTAAAACAATATGATTTATATTGTTTTTATTGCAAGTCTGCATCTCTTGGTTTTATTGCTTTGGTGAAATTGTAGGTGGGCCAACTAGATTCATTGATACTGGGTGGCCACATGTCAAGTATTTATTTCTGCACTGGTTTTGCATTTCTTTTGAACTGTTCTTTCTGTAGGCTTTGCATTTCTACTATCATGTATGCTCTTTTAAATTTGGAAACTTTCTGTACACAGCCATCCATGTACATACTGGTTGGTGTGACACAATTACAGTCAAGTCTGTGTTAGTTACCACCAGCAGTCTAAAGGATTGTTGTGTATAAAAACACCCTGTCTTGTCTTGCCCTCTTTCCAGCAATATTTTTACACTTTCGCCATTGTCTAGAGACCAAAATTGTAATTATTATCTGTTTAGAAAACAGATTTTAATTTTCTAAAGTCAGTCATTACGTCTTATGTTGGTTTCTTATGTCTAAATCGAGTC